AAAACAGGTTCTCGGTTGACGCAAACAGCTCAGCTGTCTGTTCTCATCGCACTGAGCCCGCTTGACATATTCTGTCGATATGGGTGTTGCACATATCGATGTTTCACGCAGTCGGAAACAGAGGTGTCGTTCGTGACAGCGTCGGCCTGCCCCGGAGTGGGAGGGGGAGGAGGGGGAGGGGGAGGTGGAGGGGGAGGGGGAGGAGGGGGACTGGGACGGCCAGCGTCAGCGCCGCCACGGGGAGGGGTTTGCGCGCCTGCATGTGATGGTTGGGAGGTTCAACTGCTCCGACCAGTGCCGGGAGACGTGCCAGGACAATTACTGTCCCTACAAGGAGTCTCCTGCCATCCTCATCCTTTTCCTCCTACCTCATTCCTCCATGCCTGGCTTGGGGCGCCCGAGCGTGTCCCCACACCCGTCACACAGAGGTCCCTCAGGCGTTGGAGTTCTGGTCCTTGGTCCCTGGTCGGCCACCGCCTGGGCCTGGTCTCTTGGAGGCCTGGCCTGGTGGCAGTCCCGGCGCACATCGCGGGGCATCCTTTCGTCCTCCTTCTTCCTCTCCTCCTCTTCCTCCTCCTCCTGCTGCTCCTGCCCAGCTCCTCCTCCTCTTCCTCCTCCTCCTCGTCCTCCTCGTCCTCCCCCTCCTCGTCCTCCTCCTCCTCCTCATCTTCCTCCTCCTTCTCCTCCTTCTCCTCTTTCATCCTTCCTCCGAGCGCCCCTGGCGTTGCTCTGCGGCCTGTGCCCGGCAGCGCGCTGAGCTGGCCCGCCGCAGGCCTTGCTCACCCATCCATCCTCCGTCCTCCCAGCCATTCACATCGTCGTCGTCGTCGCCGTCGTCGTCGTCGTCCTCCATTCATGTTCCTCATGAATAATTCCTCCCTGTCGCACCCCAAGGCTGGTTGGAAGGGCGTGCCAGGCGTTTCGCGTGAGACTTCCTCACCCTGCATGATCTTGAAGCTTAACATCTGCAAGAGCCTCACGGATGGAGGGCAAGTGCTTTTCACATTCTGGTTCTCGCCGTAACGCCACGCGCATCTGCTTTAGAACATTGCAAGAGATTCACAGACTGAGGACATATCGTTTTCAAAGTGTGGCTCTCGCCTTAGCGCCACGTACATTCGTCATACAAAATGTGCATAACGTTCACGGGTGGAGGGCGGCTCGTTTGCAAAGTGTTGTTCTCGCCTTAGCGCCGCGCACATTCGGTTTATCAGGTTTCAATCGTGTCAAGGATTATCATGGTCAACGTCCCAGAGATGGTGTTAGTGCACGATGTCGGGTTGTCAGGGCGTGACTATTACGTTGAGTCGTGGTTTTGCAGTCCCAAGAATGGTGTTCTGGCACGATTCAGGATCGCCAAGACGCAACAGTCATTGTGATTCGCGGCGTTGAAGTCCCAGGAATGGTGTTCTGGCGCAGCTCAGGATTTTCAACCGGTTGTTTTCCAACAGTGCACTTCCTATGGTGGTAATGAATTCTTGTACGGGGCTTTTGAAGAAGGAGCTTGGAGCGAGGGTTTATTGCAACATCGTTGATGGGTCTTGGGTTTACACTGTTCCTGCCCCTCCTCATCTGTGTCTTATTGTTTTACCTTCCCCTCCTTCCTCGTTCTCCTCCTCCTCTTGCTCTCCTGCTACCCTTCTGTGCTACGCTCCACCTCCCCTACTACCCTTCTCATCGTCCTTGTCTTCGGCGTTGTCGTCGTCCTCCTCGTCGTCCTCCTCCTCGTTCTTCTTCTGCTCCTCGTCCTCTGCGACTCGGCACGCTCCGCCTCCTCCTCCTCCTCCTCCTCCTCCTCCTCCTCCTCCATTCCTTTTGCTCATGCATATGATACCGGAAAACAACTAATCAACATTTGTTTATGGCAAAAGAGCTATGGGGCTATTGGGCAAATGGGTGGTTATGGGGCAGCAGGGCTATGGGGCTACAGAGCTGTAGGGCCATAGGGCCATAAGTCTATAGGGCTATAGGGCCATAGGGCTATAGGGCTGTAGGACAAAAATCTTTGCGGCTATGGGGCGCTGGGGCTATAGGGCTATAGGGCTATAAGTCTATAGGGCTATGGGGCTATAGGGATATCGGGCTATGGGGCTATAGGGTTATAGGGCTACAGGGCCGTAGGGCTATAGGGCTATAAGGCTACCAGGATATGGGGCTATAGAGTTACAGGGTTGTAGGGAAATAGGGCAATCGGGCTTTAGGGCTATGGGGCGATAGGGCAATAGGGCTATGGGGCTATAGTGCTATAGGACTATAGAGCTATAGGGCTCTCGGGCGATAGGGCGATAGGCTATAAGGCTACAAGGCTATACTGCTATAGGCCTATTGGGCTATAGGGCCATTGGGCTAGGAGGCTACAGGGCTGTAAGGCTATAGGGCTAGGGGCTATAGGTCTATAGGACTATAGGGCGATAGGGCTATAAGGCACCCGGGCACCCCGGCACACGGGCACCCGGGCACTTGGGCACCCGGGCGGGCCGCGGAAACCGGTGGCGAACCTCACCTAACCATATGAATCCGCTAGGACCCCTACACAGGCAAGCTCCGATTGGGGAAATTTCTCCCTGTCGCACACCGAGGCTGGTTGGAAGAGCGGGCCGGGCGTTTCGCGTGAGACTTCCTCGCTCTGCATGATCTTGAAGCTTAACATCTGCAATAGCTTCACGGATGGAGGGCGGGTAAATTTCAGATTCTGTTTCTCGCCTGAACGCCGCGCACATAATGTTCATGACATTGCAACGAGTTTCGCGGGTTGAGAACAGGTCGTTTTCAACATGTGGCTCTCACCGCAGCGCCGCGCACAGTTCGTCCGAAAAAGTGCAAGAGTTTCACAGATGTAGGGCGGAACGTTTTCAAAGTGTGGCTCTCGCTTTAGCGCCGCGCACGTTCGTCATAAAACTGTTCCTGTTCAAGGAGCGGTTCTCGCAGGATGGAATGGGGGGAGGAGAGCCGCGGAAGGCAACAGCCAAGGAGAGAGAGAGAGAGAGGGGTCGAGACAGCCCTTGAGAACTCGACGCCGTCGCCGTCCTTCTCACCCACGCTTTCGGCGGCCACGATGGCGCACTCCTCGCTGCCCTTTCTCGGGGGGCCTCCCTGACTGCTCTTGCCAGCGGGCCAGTGCACGAGCGCGTGCGTTGGGCGCGAAGTCGAGCGCGTGGTCCCCCACGAGCTGTGCACCAGGAGCAACGGAACGACAGTTAATACCTGGAAATAGAAAAGTGAGCACGGGGAGGAACAAGACGACCAATAAGCGTCACAGGAACGCCAAGGACGAATCGCGCAAGACACTCCGTAGTCTTAGCCATCTTCGATGTCCTCCGCCATCGCTTCTTGGTGGAGGTACAACACAACCCGCGTGAACAAAATTGTCGAAGAGCACCTCAACGAAGTCGCAGACAACGTGAAGAGCGAACGCGTGGTCGACACGGAAGACCACATCTGCGATGGCAGTGAATTTGCGGATCGTGCAGCAGACGCGCGTCACCATCAGCACGTTGGCCGCCGTTGTCGCCACGGCCGTGGGGTACCGCGTACGTGTCGTGGCGGGGGGGCACGCCTGCAAACGATGGGCGCGGGCTTGAACACGGGCGTGGTGATCATGCAGTGGATGCGGCGGTTTGGAACCGACGTCGTCGGGAATTCAAAGGCCGCGCATCGGAGCCTGCACGGCAGCGGGGGGTGGGAGTGTTTTTAAGTGTAGGGGTGCAGTTGTCTACGCGTCTGCTTCGGCAGCAGGAGGAGGAGGAGGAGGACTTGAAGGAAGAGACGGAAGAGGATGAGTAGGAGGACGAGGACGACGACTGAGATGACGAGGATGGGGAGGAGGATGAAGATGAGGAGGATGCACAGGAGGAGGGTACGGAGGGAGAATGAGTCGGAGGAGTCTTCATCCTGCTCACCTCGTCGGGCGACGGTCACGACAACAGTCACGACGACGGCGACGACGACGACGGTGACACGACGGCGGCGGCGGCGGCGGCGACGACGACAACACGACAACGACGACGACGACGGCGACGACGACGACGACGACGACGACGACGACGACGACGACGGCGGCGGCGACGACGGCGGCGACGACGACGACGACAACACGAAACCGACGACGACGACGACGACGACGACGACGAGACCCCCGCGCGCGCGCTCGCGCCAGGAGACGTACGCCGAGGGGAGCTCGATCTCGGGATTCTGGCGCCACCCGCGCCCCGCCCCTCCGCCACCCCACCCCGCCCCTCAAGCCGAGCAGACCCCAGCCGCCGTACCTGGGTCGCAGGCCAGAGTCCTCTCAGGGCCTCCTGCGGGCCTCTCGGGAGGCCTCTCGGGAAGCCTCTCGGAAGGCTTGGGGCCTCTCCGGGCCTCTTTGGAAGCCCCCCAGGCACCCCTAGGTGGCGTCTTGCGGGTTTGTTTTGTCCATCTTGTAGGGGGGGCCTCCGAGGGTCTTCCGGATGGGCCTGGCCAGGATGGATGGGGGTTTCTATTTGGCGGGAGGAGGAGGAGGAGGAGGAGGAGGAGGAGGAGGAGGAGGAGGAGGAGGAGGAGGAGGAGGAGGAGGAGGGAGCAGGGAGGAGGGAGGAGGGAGCAGGGAGGAGGGAGGAGGGAGGTCTGACCCTGTGGTCCATCTTGGGGGGGCTGTGGGTCTCGGGCTGGGCGTGGCCAGCCTCGGCCCCTGAGAGGCCACCAGGGGGCCTCTGCCAAGGACGGTCGCAAGAGACGAAGCCCGGGCCCATCCTGCCGAGATCCGGGGCGCAGAGGTGGGCCTGGCCGGGCTCATCCGCGGGTTGCACCCCAAGATGAGCACCGACGTGACGACGAAAGCGATCGTGCATTGTGAAGGCCTTACGGCCGGTGCCGCTGACCCTGAAGGACGCCGACGACGACGACGACGACGACGACGACGAGGACGCCGACGACGACGACGACGGCGACGACGACGACGACGACGATCACGACGACGACGACGACGACGCCGACGACGACGACGACGACGACGACGACGACGACGACGACAAATTGAGGGCCCTGCCATAGGCTCGGGACATGGGGTGGGGGACCTGGCCGGCATCATCAGCAGGGTGCACCTTTAGATGTGCAACGACGTGACGGTGAAAGCGGCCTTGTATTTTGTGCTGTTGCTGCGACCAACCCGTGCCTCAGTGCCGAAGTGGGCTACCGTTCGGAGGTTGCTTCAATCTTAGCACGGGCCGCTGTGGCCGCAGCTCCGCGGCAGCAACCAGCAGGCCATCGCACTGCCCAACCGTCCAAAGCAATAGATTTGCTTCGGCCATCTGGGCTTGAGCCCTGCTGCCCCCGCCCGCTGGCGGGAAACGTGTCCACGCCCACGGCCTCGCGGACCGGGCCACTGGGCCACGACCCCGTGGATGCACTGGCACGGGGCGTCTTCCCGCGGAGGCCCCAGCGCGGCACTTGCCCATACAGTCGGCCCAGACTAGTAGGTCGACCCTGCCAGCTCAAGGGTACCCTTGTGTCCTGTGCCTCGCGACGCGTGCCTTCTTACACTCCAATGGCGATGTGGCCTTCGGAAGGGTCTCGTGTCCTCTCGCGTGTCCTCTCCAATCCAGTCCGACTGTACGCGACCGCGCAGCCACGGGATCCCGCCTTGGAGTCCCGAGTCCAGGGCGGGGGGGCGCTGGTCCCTCCGGCAGGCCCGCGTCGTGCCGCCGCGGCGGCGGCCCCGCCGCAGGCGCTCACGGTGGAGCGTCGCTGGGGGCCCAGCGTCTGCCACGGGTGGAGCGCACTGGCGACCGACACGCCGCCCGTTCGAGGCTGAAAGATCCACGCGGGGGTCGGACAGCCAATGCCCGGGTCGTCACGGCACGGCCGTGGCAGGGCTCGTTTCGATGTCTCCGATTCGCTTCGGGTTCGATGGCTTCCGGTTCCGATTCGAGTTCGATCTCGGAGTCCCATTCGGATCCCGAGTCCTTGTTGGAGGCATACTACCGCCGATTCGACGTCTCCCCACTCGGTGGCCGATCTCCGCCGATCCGAGTCATGTCGATCGCCGATCCGGCTTATCGATTCGATTCTGGGCTCTCCTGCCGTGAGATCCGACGTTGTGACAAAAAATGCAGCATTTGGAAAAATCTGTACCAAAGCTCTAGACCCAATGTTTCTCCTGCAATTTCCGAGCGGCATAGATCTGAGATGGCCTTCGGGTCCACAACTGGGCGAACACGACCAGGGTGAAAAAAATGCATCGCCTGGATCGCAGGGTCTAACCCCATTTGAGTTTGGCTTCCGAGCCATAGCTCAGGCCTCCGGCGGTCATTCGGGACGATCCAGGCACCCCGGGAACGCTCTCGGCGAAACGCAGCTGCTGAAAAGCATCCCCAGGCTGGAAAACCGCCCAGAACCGACGAGAACGCCCGAAAACCTCGAACCTCGAACTTGGATCTCAGGGGAACCCGCCGTGTGAACATGGTATCTCAAGTCCCAGGGCCAATTTGTCATGCCGGCTGTTTTGGGGGAGTTCTGGGGCCCAGCGAGGGCCCCCGGAGGCCAACAACGTCGTCAAGAAAGCCTCCCGTCGTAATCTTCCACGACGCGAGCACGTGCGGGTGTGGATTTGGGGTAGCGAAGAAGAACATAAGCATAAAAACTCGGAGGTCCGCGCGGACTTCCGAGATATTATGTTCATGCCACTCTTCGTTCCCTTATGGAGATGTGTCCCCGCTCGTGACCAGACCCGCGGGCCCGATAATTGGCGTTTACTACACGGCCCTGGCCACTTACTAAACAGTACTGCCCTATTCGATTCCTTCTTTGGGCGTGCTTACTAAACGACCTCGCGTGTCGGGGTGGTTATAAGGGGGGGGATTGCTTTGACCTCTAATGTGGGTGTGGACATGTCCCCGCTCGTGACCCCTCCCTCGGGCCCGCCTCCCGGCGGAATGCCGGCGGGGCGCGGCGGCGAGGCGCCGACGCCGCCCGGCGCGGCGGAGCCGTCGCAGCCGGGCAAGCGCAGGGCGTCCCAGCACGCGCCAGAGAGGGGCAAGCGGCCGAAGACGGAGCGCCACGAAGAATCGAAGAAGAAGAAACGGCGTAAGCATAAGCTTCTGGCGCTCCGCGCGGATTTCTTGGATCCGCGCTGGGGCCCCCCGCCGCGCGCCAGGGAGGGGGGTCCAGCGCAGATCCCGGGAGCCGCTTTCAGGTCCAGGGAACATCAGAAACGCACCCTGAGATCCGACGGCGCGGAAAAGCTGAAGCCTCGCATGAGGAGTCGCGGCCGGAGCCCTGGACCCCATCTTGCTGCGACAGTCCTCGAGTCCCCATCCTTGCCATCTGCGCCCCATTGTTGGGGGCATTGGAGCACCTGGGAAGGAGTCGCGGCCGGAGCCCCGGACCCCATCTGGCCGCGGCAGTCCTCGAGCCCCGCGTCGGTCTGTGAGGGGGCCCCGTGGCCCGAGGACGCGGGCGAGGCCGCGCGGCTCGGGGTCCCTGGCCGGGCTCTGCGGGGCGGCATGGTGCACCACGGGTCAGGAGGGGGAAACCCAGAGATCCAACGCATTGAAAAAATCAAGACGGAGGTTTTTTCGCCATTTTCGGCCTTTAGAGGCCCTCGCGCCAGGCCTCGGGACCGTCAAAAAACGACTCAGGATGAAAAACCGGCCCTGGGGAAATGATCCGGACTTCCCGGGACCCCGTCTTGAAAAAATCACGACGTCGGATCTTTTGGGAAAAGCACACAGACACAATGGATCGTCGACTCCCCAGGAAAAGATGGGACAAGATTGGAAAAGCTGGGGGGAAGATGTAATCCCAGAACACATGGGAAAGGATGGGGAATCCTGCTACGTGTGTCTGTTTGTTTGTGTGTCCCAGGGCCCCGTCAACCATGGAGAAGGGATCGAGGCCTCCGGCCGAAGGCGGAGCGCCCCGGAGTGCGAGCACGGAGCTCGGACGTTCTGGTTTTTCATTCGCAGCGTGTTCATCATCCCTGAGATCCTGGCGACTCCATTTTTTCGGGCCGGGCGTTGTCGCGTTGCCTCGGGCTCCGGGGACCTCACGGATCGATCCGGCGCGAAGAAATTGACGCAGAAATGATGGGGGCTCCTAGGGCTCCGGGCGCGATTTTGTATACGATGTTGCAGTTTTGTTCGCTGGGTCGGATCTCTCAGGGCTGCATGTCGGCCTCCTGGGGCCCGCATTCTGGGCCCCAAGGTTAAGAATGGCTCCGGGACGGAAAAGTGCCTTTTGGGAACGGCCATGATTCGGGTAGGGGATCCACTACAGAATTGATCTACCCCAAAAATTTATTGCCCCAGATAATCTACGACGATTATGTCGAATTTTCGTACAAAGATTTGGAATTCTGCATGTGCTCCGTAACTCCGACGAGAAAATCATTTTTGGGGTAAACCCATTCCGCTCGAATGATCTTTCAGGACCATCAGACATGGATCCGGGACGAAACAAAACCCTTTGGGAAGGGGTTCGTGATTTTTGGGGGCCGCGGATGAAAAAAACTTGTCGGCGGAAGTCAGGGCACGAAAGAGCTAAAGCCTCCAGGACTCGCAAACGGGGCCAGTGCAGATGGGGTCGGTGGATCGCGCCGCATCGCTGATGCAACAGCCATGCCGATCGATGTGGAGCCCGATTTTGTCCACGCCGGCAGCGCCGATGCATCGACGACGTCGCGGCTGTCGCATCGCCAGTGCGTCGACGGTGCATCGGCGATGCATCGTCGATGCGGCGCGATCCTCCGATCCCATCTCTTCGAACCTCGTCCCAAGGCCTCTCAGCTCGAGGATCTAAGTCTTAGACGGTTCGGGTGGCTCGGGGGCTTCTGGGGGCGCCTTCGCCACGTCTGGATTCGCCTCGGAATTCTAGCCTGGAGGTACCCCATGAGAGGTTCAGGGATCCAGTCTGCGGGGCGTCGGTGTGCAGACAAGGTGCGGGCTCTTGGACAGCAGTTCCCAATGTTTTTTGGGCTGCATTTCTGCAGGTTCTTTCGCCACGGTGGGACGCGGATCGAACTAATTGGTCGGTAGTGGTCCGGGGACAGAGTTTGAGCTTGTTTGGGAGGTCTCGCCGCGAGGAGGGAGGTGGCTCCTCCTGGGCACCCCATGGGCGCCTCCTGGCGGAGAGGGGTCCTCTTGAGGAGGTTTTTTCTGCTCGCTCGGGGCAAGCAGCCGCAGGCGGAGCTCGACCTCGTGGAGGCTTCGGAGGGCGCTTCTGGAGACCATTTTTGTGTCCCCTGTCGACAACGGGCGTGCTATGGGGGGGGGGGGGGAGGGGGAGGGGGGGGGGGGGGGGGGGGGGGGGGGGGGGGAGGGGGAGGGCGCTGGTCACGTCACGATTCGCGCCGACGCGAATCGTGACGTGACGTGACCAAGGGGTGTGAGGGGGGGCTGTAACGGGCGTCGTGGTGAATAAATATGAGAATTTCTCTTGGAGGTGCACGGAGTTTCTCGTGTTTGACGCGGCTCGTCAAAATACCCCCTCAACCTTGCCAGTCGCCGAGGAGCACCTGGCGGCCCAGCTGAAGCCAGAGCTGCAGTTCAAGGAGCTCAGCATCACCGCGGTGGACTGGAAGGACCTCGACACCTGGAGGTTCTCCGCCCACGCGGACTCCGCTCACAACCTCTACGTGAGCGACACCACCAGCATCGTGTGCTTCAGCCCCGACGGCAACTGTCGCCCCGTGGTCAGCGACATCGAGCCGCACCACATCGTGCCGAACAGTACCGCGGACTACGTGGTCATCCTCCGCAAGTCGGACAAGCAGAAGCTCAGCAGGGTGAACTCCGACGGGACGATGCGCACCATCCTGGAGACCGGGCGAGGTCAACTCCGCTTGGAGCAAGTCCGATCGGAGTCCTGGGGGCCCCACCTGGTGGGCTTCCAACTGGACTCGGTCTCCTCTCGGGCGACGGTTGGAGCAAGCCCAGCCGAAGCCACGGGGGCTCCAAGTTGTGTGCCTCCGGCTAGGCTCCGCCTCCTCTCGGGCGACGCCAGCTCTGGTTGAAGCAAGTCTGGTCGGAGCCATGGGGGGGGGCTCCATCTGGTGGGCCTCCAACCTCGAGCCCCGACCCATGCCAAGAAACATCCTGCGTGCCACCAGGGTGCCGTGGGTTTTTTGGGTTTCGATGGCTTTGCCACGGAAAGCGTGACGCTCCCACACCAGAAATCCATGGACGTCCTGGGGTCTCAGGGTTGGGTTTCTCGTGGAAGGTTTCTTGTGGAGTGGCCTCCACTGTACCTTACCCAGACATGCGATGCCCTGATTTGTTCCAGTACGGGACCCCGAGAAGTCTTGACTCTTCCCCAGAGGCCGGCTGTCCATCCCTATGGTCGTGTTCTGACGGTCTGGGGGTCCGGCGACGGCCACGAGGCCGAAAAATGGCCACCAAAAAGTCCGTCGTGTTGTTCGTTCACGACGCAGGCACGCGTGGGGACGGTTGAGCAGCATCCCATCGTGGGAGATCTGGGCATCCGTCCGACCCGAGGGTTCGGACCCCCAGATCCTTGGACGCGCTCCCTCTCCCAGGCCAGTGCCTCGGCATTGCCCTGGGGCCCCGGCAGGCCGACCCCGTGGGCCTGGGCCTTCCAGGTCCTGTCCTTCGGAGGTAGAGCCTGGCCGGATGTCCGCGGACAATGCCGAGGCACGGGCATGGGGGAGGGAGCGAAGAACGGTATAAAATAAACTTTTTCGCTGTCGGGGGCGCCTGTCCCAGGGCGGCTGGAAAGTTTATACCCCTACGGTGCCACCGTACGGGTAAAATTTCCAGCCGCCTGGGACAGGCGCACCGACAGCGAGGAGGAAAAAGTTTATTTTATAGCGTTCTTTTCTTCGCTCTTCTGAATTGGGGAGGGAGCGTATTCCAGGATCTGGAGAACCCGAACCGTCGGGCCGGCGAATTAATTCTAGACGCGTAACCGCCACCTCCCCATCTCAGAACCGATGCCCATGCGATTGCCCTGATCAGGGATGTGGGAGAGCACGCAGTGGGAATAAAGCTGGTAAGCGTCATACTACCCCGATGGTGGAGGATGGAGAAGTATCAGACAAAGAGGGGGCGGGGGAGGGGGAGGGGGAGGGAGGTCAAGTTAGGTGCGCTCGCGTCAACATCTGACATCCCTACCCCTCCCTCCCATCCCTTACCATGGCGCTGATTTTCTCTATCCGCGGACGCGTGTCGTAGCGGACCTGTGGCTCCGCGCGCGTGTGCGTAGTGGGTGGTGGTGCGCGTGCGTGCGTGCGTGTGTGTGTGCGTGGTTGTGGTGGTTGTGGTGGTGGTGTGTATGTGTGTGTGTGTGCGTGTGTGCGCGTGTGCTGTGGTGTGACGTGGTGTGGCGTCTTGGTGGTTTGGTGGTGGGCCAGGTGCGTACGTGCGTGATGGCGGTGGTGGTGGTGGTGGCGGTGGTGGTGTGTGTGTGTGTGTCTGTGCGTGTGCGTGTGCGTGTGCGTGTGCGTGTGCGTGTGCGTGTGCGTGTGCGTGTGCGTGTGCGTGTGTGTGTGTGTGTATGTGTGTGTGTGTGTGCGTGCGTGCGTGCGTGCGTGCGTGCGTGCGTGCGTGCGTGTGTGTCTGTGTGTGCGCGCGTGTGATGTGGTTTGACGCGGTGTAGCGTGGTGGTGGTGGGTGGGGTAGTGCGGTGGTGGTGGCGGTGCGCGGTGGTGGTGCGCGTGCGTGCGTGCGTGCGTTGGTGGGTGGAAGTGGCGGTGGGTGTGCGTGCGGCGGGGCGGGGCGTGGTGCGGCGCTGTGGTGGCGGGCGGATGGGCGCGCGAGAAAGAGGCCCGCGCTGGGGCGAGAACGCCATCCTGAACGACGGAGGCAAAACACCGATGCGAAAATGAGGCCCACGCTGCAGCGGGAGCACAATTCGGAACGATTCGGGAGCAGAAATGAGGCCGGCGCCTCAGCGAGAGCAGCATTTTGAAAAAAAACGCAGGCGAAAACCCAACTCCCGGGAATCCTGTGTGTAAAAAACAATACGCGGGGGGGGTCTACTACTCCCAGCACGCCATCAGGGGAAGAGGGAGAGTAGTATTCATATTTAGTAATTGTGGAGGGAGGGGAGGGAGGAGGAGGGGGAGGAAGAGGGCGATCAGAAAGGCCAGAGGCCTCTTGGATGCCTCTCAGAGCTTCTTCGTATGTCTCTTGAGAGTTTCTTGCAGGCCCCTTGAGGCCTCGTGGAGGTCCCGGGGGCCTCGTGGAGCCTCTTGGGGGTCTCCTGGGGATCTCTTGGGGGCCTCTTGGAGGAATCTTAGGGGCATCTTGTGGGCCTCTTGGGGCCTCCTGGGCGCTTCTTGGGGCCCCTCTTGGGGCACTCTTGGGGGCCTCGTGGTCCATCTTGGGGCCATCTTGGATAAGACCGATCATAGAAGGGGAGCTCCTTTATTAGCACCCCCGATGTATTACCGTCCGAGGTTGCCCATGTCCTGCCTTCGCTCTGGGGAGGAGGAGACTCGAGGGCCAGTGTCCCGGCCCCCGTTTCCTGGCTCATTACTGTACTTCGGGAGGAGGAGGAGGAGGTGG